GTGCGCGAAATGCAGGCGAGAGTGCGATTTGTCCGGTGCCCGCGCAACCCTCTGCGGAGATCGTGCGTGTCGAGCGCGCGAAATGCAGGCGAGCACTGGCGACTTTGCAGTACAACTTTAGTACGCGGGGTATCTGGGGAGCTGGAAGATGAGAACTGACTGGTGACTTGGTAGTACAACTTTAGTATGCGGAGCAATCTGTGGAGCTGGAAGCTGAGAACTGGCGACTTTGTAGTACAACTTGAGTACGCGGAGCAATCTGTGGAGCTGGAAGCTGAGAACTGGCGACCTTGTAGTACAACTGTAGTACGTGGAGTATCTGGGGAGCTGGAAGCTGAGAACTGGCGACCTTGTAGTACAACTTTAGTACGCGGAGTATCTGGGGAGCTGGAAGAGAGTCTTAGAAGAGTGTCCCGCAACAGTGTCCCACTAGACTGTCTCAAAAGAGTCTCCCTTTGTCCTACAGGAGTATCCCACAAGAGTGTCCTACAAGAGTGTCCCACAAGAGTGTCCCACAAGAGTGTCCTACAAGACTGTCCCACAAGAGTATCCTACAAGAGTGTCCCACAAGGAGTTCCACAAGAGTGTCCCACAGAGTGTCCCACAAGACTGTCCCACAAGAGTGTCCTACAAGAGTGACCCACAAGAGTGTCCTACAAGAGTGTCTTATAAGAGTGTCCCACAAGAGTGTCCCACAAGAGTGTCCCACAAGAGTTTCCTACAAGAGTGTCACACAAGAGTGTCCCACAAGAGTGTCCCACAAGAGTGTCCTACAAGAGTGTCCTACAAGAGTGTCCCACAAGAGTGTCCCACAAGAGTGTCCCACAAGAGTGTCGCACAAGAGTGTCCTACAAGACTGTCCCACAAGAGTGTTCTACAAGAGTCAAGAGTGTCCCACAAGAGTGTGCCACAAGAGTGTCCCACAAGAGTCCCGCAACAGTGTCGCTCAAGAGTGTCTCACAAGAGTGTCCCTTAAGAGTGTCCGTTAAGAGTGTCCGAAAAGAGTATCCCACAAGAGTGTCCTACAAGAGTGTCCCACAAGAGTGTCCCACAAGAGTGTCCTAGAAGTGTGTCCCACAAGAGTTTCCTAAGAGTGTCCCACAAGAGTGTCCTGCAAGTGACCCACAAGAGTGTCCATCAAGAGTGTCTCACAAGAGTTTCCTACAAGAGTGTCCCACAAGAGTGTCCTACAAGAGTGTCCCACAAGAGTGTCCTACAAGAGTGTCCCACAAGAGTGTCCCACAAGAGTGTCCTATAAGAGTGTCCCACAAGAGTGTCCTACAAGAGTGTTCTACAAGAGTCAAGAGTGTCCCACAAGAGTGTGCCACAAGAGTGTCCCACAAGAGTCCCGCAACAGTGTCGCTCAAGAGTGTCTCACAAGAGTGTCCCTTAAGAGTGTCCGTTAAGAGTGTCCGAAAAGAGTATCCCACAAGAGTGTCCTACAAGAGTGTCCCACAAGAGTGTCCCACAAGAGTGTCCTAGAAGAGTGTCCCACAAGAGTTTCCTAAGAGTGTCCCACAAGAGTGTCCTGCAAGTGACCCACAAGAGTGTCCATCAAGAGTGTCTCACAAGAGTGTCCCACAAGAGTGTCCTACAAGAGTGTCCCACAAGAGTGTCCTACAAGAGTGTCCCACAAGAGTGTTCCACAAGAGTGTCCTATAAGAGTGTCCCACAAGAGTGTCCCACAAGAGTGTCCTACAAGAGTGTCTGATAGGAGTTTCCTACAAGAGTGACCCACAAGAGTTTCCTACAAGAGTGTCCTACAAGAGTGTCCCAGAAGAGTGTCCCACAAGAGTGTCCTACAAGAGTGCCCCACAAGAGTGACCCACAAGAGTGTCCTACAAGAGTGTCCTACAAGAGTGTCCCAGAAGAGTGTCCCACAAGAGTGTCTTACGAGAGTGTCCCACAAGAGTGTCCTACAAGACTGTCCCACAACAGTGTCCCACTAGAGCGTCTCACAAGAGTGTCCCTTAAGAGTGTTCTACACGAGTATCCCACAAGAGTGTCCTACAAGAGTGTCCCACAAGAGTTTCCCACAAGAGTGTCCCACAAGAGTGTTCTACAAGAGTGTCCCACAAGAGTGTCCCACAAGAGTGCCCCACAGAGTGTCCCACAAGACTTTCCTACAAGAGTGTCCCACAAGAGTTTCCTACAAGAGTGACCCACAAGAGTTTCCTAAGAGTGTCCTACAAGAGTGTGCCACAAGAGTGTCCCACAAGAGTGTCCTATAAGAGTGTCCCACAAGAGTGTCTCACAAGAGTGTCCCACAAGAGTTTCCTACAAGAGTGTCCTACAAGAGTGTCCCACAAGAGTGTCCTACAAGAGTGTCGTGTAAGAGTGTCCCACAAGAGTGTCCTGCAAGTGACCCACACAAGTGTTCTACAAGAGTGTCCCACAAGAGTGTCCTAGAAGAGTGTCCCACAAGAGTTTCCTAAGAGTGTCCCACAAGAGTGTCCTGCAAGTGACCCACAAGAGTGTCCCACAAGAGTGTCTCACAAGAGTGTCCCACAAGAGTGTCCCACAAGAGTGTCCCACAAGAGTGTCCCACAAGAGTGTCCTACAAGAGTGTCCCACCAGAGTGTCCCACAAGAGTGTCCTATAAGAGTGCCCCACAAGAGTGTTCTACAGGAGTATCCCACAAGAGTGTCCTACAAGAGTGTCCCACAAGAGTGTCCCGCAGAGTGTCCCACAAGAGTG